AGCAACTTAATTTTAACCCTACATCCATGTGTAACTGCACATACAGCAGCGTTTTCTGCACTCAGGCTGCACGTATCCGCTGTGTTGCCAAACCTCAGACGATTTATATGAACAGACAATGTGCAAAACAAAAAATCCGTCCATATATTTGCCGCATCATTTTATTTGCTGCAGGGCTCAGAGTGTGAGAAAAAAGTAGCGTCTTATATTCTGGAATTTACGGTATGAGATAGAAAGATAAGCAAATATAATCTATGAAGACCTGGGAAACATTATAGGTAAAAAAAACAAAAAAAACAGCCATAGCTTGTTGCTCTTTTTTCTTTTTTCAAGGTCTTGTGAGCCTTAAGACAAGTTATAATGTTGTTATCTCATCGAAAACATGGAGTTGTGTTTTGTTTCATTCAGAAATGTTTGAGTAATCCTTTATTATTCCTCTGTACATCTCCAAAGCTCAAAATGCTCTGTTCTACTTCGTGCGGTCATGAAGTGGTAGTTTTCAAGTAAACAGCTCCTTTTACCATTTGTTTAGTAAATATTGGCAATTCCAGAGTAGAAATGATCCAAATGATTCTAGTGAAGGTGTCTGGAGAGTGGAGCACTTCCTGTATCACCACATGACATAATTTCAAGGTGGAACAAATGTTTTCTCGGCGTAAATATGCAGGTTTGTGTGTTAAACATGTGTGAATGAAACGAAACACAGCTCCACGTCTGTTTGTGAAGAGGAAACAACATTATAGCAGTGCAACTCATAAATGTCAAACAGCTTTGAGACAAATGCTTCATGTGCTTCACTTTAGCTCCAGGTTATGTTCCACTTACTTACTTTATTCCACTTGAACCTGGCCTGATTATTTAGCTGTCATTACTCACTCACAGAACTGTCACTGGATTGTCAAAGGCATTTTACGCATTAACCTGTTTTGTTACATTATTTTAGTTTGTATAACCAAGTGGGGTTAAATGAGGCCTGGTTATATAATCGTTTACCTCACACATCAATCTGCTTGGAATATACATGCGTCCCGAATTTCAGACTTCCGGTCATGGAGAAAGTCAGAGGGAAGGGCCCTCGGAAAAAGTGAGCATCATGTACTCTGTAGTTGTAACTTTGCACAATAAGATGGAATTAAATGTTCCTCATTATGGCATTAAAGGTTGTATAGGGGATTTTTTTTAAGGGAAGAGAAATACATCGGCAGTCCTTTTTCAAATGTTGTGCATGCGTGACACCACCTTCCTCCTCCACAGCTCCCTTTAGAAATAATTTAGAGACCGGCACCTCAGTTTTTAGACCCCTCGTCTGCTTCAGTCGCGCCATCGCTGGAAGGAATCTCCGAGAATCACCTCAGTTTGTCTTCGCTCCTTTTCCCCGTCTCTTCTTCTTTCAGCGACCTCAAAAATGGACTTTCTTTTGCGGCGAACTGGTCATGGATTCTCGTCCGCCATCGCAACAAAATTTGTGCGAACTGCGAGGAAGCTACAGTTAGAAAAAGCCTCTAAGAACCGCTGCATAGTTACCCTAGAAGCGTAAGAAGTTTGATTGACAACCTAACAGCCAATAGAAAATGAGGTAGCCTTTTTATCTATTGGCTGATGTTTATCTGGCCTCACTACGTCCACAGTCGATAGATTTTCTTTTTTTTTTTTTTTTTTTTTTTTGGTCATCATAATTACAAAGCTGCTGTGTCTCTGTAATGGTATTTAAATCTTTCATTGACAATTTGAAACTAAAAAAATATATATCCTCCATACAACCTTTAAATGTATCCATCTTGAATTGAATTTAATAAATTGCAGGTGCATTTATTGCTGAGAAAGACGCCTTGATAGATACATATTCACTCTTTCTGTGCGCAGGGTCTCACTTCACAGATCTGAGTTGTACCTTGGCTTAGTGGCGTTGCATGATTATTTCCCTGGACTTAGATATGTTTAATGTCATAGTGTGGAATATTCCAGGCACAGCAATAACTTATCCATGCATTTGTCTCCAGTAGGTTAGATACTGTAATGTTCTGCTCACTGGTCCTCTCCAAACGAGCTGTGAGACACTGCAGAACATCCAGAACATCCAGAACGCTGCAGCTCGGGTCCTGACTTGAACCTGGAAGTACGAGCACATAAGTCCTGTGCTCAGGTCTCTGCACTGACCCCTGCGGCTCAGACACTTTAAAGCAGCTCTGCTTTTGCACAAGTCTCTCCATGGCCGAGCACCAAAGTACAACTGTGACATGTTAGTGCCAAATGACCCTTTTGCACTCTGAGGAGATCAGGGACCAACCTCCTGCTGGTGCCCAGAGTCAGGACTTAAACACGAGGAGTCAGAGTTTCAGATTCATGCAGCTAAAACTTGGAACAATCTGAAGATGTGAGACAGATTCTACTTTGACTCTGTTTAAATCCAGGCTCAAAACGGTTCTGTTCAGCCGAGTTTGATTGAAAGGTTTTCATTTTTCATTCCACACTCTTCTCTCTTTTTAATGTGATGATGATTATTTATGTTTTGATTTGTTTTTGTTGTGATTTTAATGTATTTCTTATTCTGTAAAGCACTTTGAAATACTTTGTGTACGAATTGTGCTATACAAATAAACTTGCCTTGCTTTACCGTGGCAGACCCTCCACCAGAAAAGTCACAAAGTGCACCTTCTTTTTACCAGTTTAAAGGTCACAAGTGTGCAACTTTCTATGTGTCACGTCACTTGCTTATTCCATGGAAATAGAAAGTTGATACTTCAGAACATTCTCCACAGACACTGTAAGTTTGATGCCGTACTGTGGAATGTTATAGGCAAAGGTTGGGCTGGATGATATTGTGATAAAAATCAAACTGTGATCTCATTCCTGTGACAATATGCATTTTTGGTCATGATTCACCATTTCTTTATTTATGCAGCTGTCAGCTCAAACCCTTTCCTTCCCACTTCTCCTTGGCCAGCCCCTGTAAGACTCAATCACAGAGAAGAGTGAAACTTTAGAGGCGGTGACTGTATTTACCTCTTAAAGGCTGTAGAAAAACTGTGTATATGAATCATAATAACATTGAAATTTTCTTTTTTACTGTATCACCCACCTGGAGCGAAAGGACAAGGAGGAGTCACGTTATATTTTAGTGGAAGATACAATATTTAAATGTTAGAGTTGACGTAATAGACCTAATAATAATACTACCAGCAGAGGGCACTAAAGCACTGTCTGTCTCCCAAATTCTCTGAGGCCATCTGAGGACATTGCATGAAATATAGCATTGTTTAAACTCGCAGGTGTCTACAAAACTAACAGGGGACAATTAAGGACTAAAACTGACACAAGTGCAACTAACAAACCAAGAGGAAAGCTGGTAGTGTTTAATCAAGTTGGATGTTTTAAATTGGTCAAGTAAATACAACGAAATAGACATGACATGATATAAACGCATTTGTGGACATTTGTTACAACCCTGGACGTTTGTGCTTTGGTAAAATGATCGTTTTGTAAGCTGTTATTAAACGTGAAAAAGGAGACTTGTGTAAGATTATTGTGAAGTTGCACAGGGTGAGATCAGAAACGTGGCGCGGACGGAAGTTAAATCCTGTCTTCAAAATAAGAGCTGAGAAAAAGCAGGAGGAGGAGGAGGAGGAGGGAGTAGGCTGGGGAACATACAATGATAAAGGTTTCTACTCGAGCTTCTTGGAGGGGGGGGGTTGGCCTCTGTAAAGGAGGGGCAACTGTGTTTTGGACCTCTGTTTTTTGTAGTGTAAATAATGTAAATAATATGTGTATGTAATGCCATTTCATTTTATTTTTTTATGTAAATAGCACGAGGTGTGGATGCAATTGAGTGTAAATTTTTTTTGACGGACACAATGAAGGTCTGTTAAAAATCAAATCTCTCTCTCTCTCTCTCTCTGTCTTTTTCTCTTTGCTCTGTCTGTCTGTCTCTTTCTTTCTCTGTGTCTCTCTCTTTCTCTCTCTGTCTTTTTCTCTTTGTCTGTCTCTCTCGATCTCTCCCTCTCTCTGTGTGTGTGTGTCTCTCTCTCTTTCTCTCTGTCTGCCTTCTTCTCTTCCCCTCTCTCTCCCTCTCTGTCTCTCCCTCTCGCTGTCTCTGTCTCCCTCTGTGTCTCTCTTTTTCTCTCCCCCACTCTGTCTCTCTTCTCTCCCTCTCTGTCTGTCTTTCTCTCTCTCCCTCTCTCTCTCTCTGCCTCTCTGTCTCGCTCTGTCTCTCCCTCTCTCTGTTTCTCTCTTTCTCTGTGTGTCTCTCTCTGTGTCTCTATCTCTATTCTCTGTCTGTCTGTCTGTCTCTCTCCGTCTCTGCCTCTCTTTTAGACCAGCATCCACAAAATAGCCAGCCAATCAAAAATGCAAAATCAGACTGAATCTGAATCTTGTTTATTTGAATAGTTTTCAAAGTTTGTTACTTGTGTCCTTCAACGGTCTTTTACTTGTGCACATGCTGCACTTTGTTGGTTAAAATCCCATGATATGATGTTAAAAACTGAGCACAAAAAAAACTTTCAAAAACTGCTCAGTATGTGAGCCAGGTAGCCACAAAATCAGCCAACTGATCTGTACTTTGTGTAGGGTGGCAAGAGTGGGACAAAACTGGGACACTGGTTTATAATAATAAAATTTTGAAACGAGTGCGTAAGGAAAATCGATATGCACTCTGTGAGTCAGTATCAGTCACATTTTTTTTGTGTTTTGATCATTTTTAAGAAGATTTTCTCTATTTTTACTGAAGCAAATGACAATGTATGCCTCTCTTTACTGTTGTTAAGGATCAAATTGGTCAAAAAAAAGAGACATTTGGGACAAAACTGAGACAAATCATGGTTTTGGATAAATCTGCGGGGACAGGGGACACAGGGCTCAAAACTGGGACGGTCCCGGGTAAACAGGGACGTCTGGTCACTCTAACTTTGTGTGAATCGTATGAGAAGCGCTAATATAATCTCGGAAAATAAACTGCACTTGTACACGTCACATACTTTTATTCTGAAAGCGCCGGAGCGGAAGTGCGCGTGGCTTCACTGTCGCCGCTGCTCAGATTCCCCGCAGAGAAAATGGCGGCGCTACGAGCTACGGTGCTCTCGGGCAGTGGGAGAGCGCTCCTGAGCACCCCGAAGACCATCAAGACTCCCACGGTACGTCGATCCCGAGATGTAGGCTCTGTCTCTCTGCCGTGTGAACGATTTGCTCTAACATTTTACAGAAAGTGTTTTACCCCGCCGGGAGCTCATGGTTAGCCGCGTTAGCTGTGCCCGGGGTAAGGCAAGGTCACTCACGCTGCGGAGGATTTTAAACACACACGGAGCTTTAATCACACTTGTCCTCACTTGACCTGCTTATATCTACATTTATGCTTTATTATATTCTTTAGATCACGTTGTAGTCGCGTCATTGGAGCTTAAATTGACTCGGATTAAGTTGTTTTGTGGCAAATTAGCACCGAAGCTAACAGATCCCCCCGTGTCAGCCACCCGGCGAATTTAAAACCTCTCAAAACTACGGCTTATTCCGGATATATTCTCCTAAAATCTGGGATACAGTCAAAATCTGCCCACGGATGATAGTTTGTGTGATCAGATCGTTGTGCAGTGCAAAGAGTCATTATATTTTCATTGGTTCTAAAAGTAGATGAGCTAACCCCGATGCTAAAATTTAGCCCGTCAAGGACTGAGAGGACTTCCGGTGATAAAATCCGCCGGTCACCTTTATTTTTTTAACACTCTTTAAGCAGCGTGTGTGCGTTTTAAGAGCTCTTTCGGTTTTTAATAGTGTAAATTTGTAAATTGTGGGACTTTATTTTGACAATCCCACTCTGTCCTCTTGGATCAGAACGTCTTTATTTGATTGTGACAGGAGATTTACTTTTTAATTTTGAAGTGCCAACACATACAGATGCATCAATCCTCCAAATAATATTTAATAATTTCATATGACTCTCACAATTCTACTCACCCTTGTGTCTCAATGTCACTCCTCACCGTGTCACTTGTTTGTTTTTTTGGTAAAAATTGGTAAAAAATGTATATAAGTAAGTATATTAGTTATTGTTTTCCTTTCTCAAAATGAAGCTGATAGCTGTGACCCGTGTATTGGTGTGTGGATCAAACTGTGAGAAAGCTGTAGCTTTGCACCCCTGATGAATAACCTCCTCTTTAGGTCATTGAAGGTAACCTATTTTTGGAGGTCAGCTGAACAAGTAAAAAGTAAACACTGGTAGCTTTGATTTGTTTAGTTTTGCAATGATTGTATTTTATTTGGTGGTGGTAAACGACTATTGTGGCCACAGTTGCCCTGGGACAGACTGGTTGTGAATCTGCACATTATGAGGGTGAAGAGTCTTGCCTAAGGACACAACAGTTTAAATGTAGATGAGTAATTTCACTCAGTAGTTGGGTTGTTTTCGAAGCACATGCCCACATTAATGAATTGAAAGGGCTGTGACTTATTTTTATTTTTTATTTTTTTTAAAGTAGCAATAAACTGTGGCAATCGGGAAACATTGTTACCACTTATTTAATTTTATTTATTTTTTATTTATTTATTTATTTATTTATTTAAGACAGGGACAGCAATTTTTACATTAACTTTTTTTTACAGGAGAAATGCATTGTAAGTTCAGGTTGTAGCATCAGTGCTAATTTCCACCTGTCGTCCCTGGGCAGGTACATTGATTGATTTTATTTAACTGACCTTGACTATCAACTGTTCTTAGAGACTTATGTAGCATGTTTTGTGTGGGCTTATAGGACATTATCATTTACAAAGTGAAATTAAACCAGTACTAGTACAGTGGTAAATATTGTGAAGCCCTCACGAAACTTTTGTTTGTTTTTTCAGGCAAAAATGTCCTTCTCGGCTCTCCCACGGGGCAGGAAGGTGGCCCTGACCACGATCGGGGTGCTCACAGCAGGAGGAGCAGGGCTGGCTCTGGCTCTCCATCAATCGGTTAAAGCCTCCGATCTGGAGCTGCATCCGCCCCATTATCCATGGAGCCACGCGGGGCCCCTGTCCGCGCTCGACCACGCCAGGTAAAAGACACAAGTGGGACCCTGAGTGTTGATCAGAAATTACTTAAAAGGCTGAGCAATTTGGGAAGACATTTTTAGTTAGAGGAGGTCTTTACTAGTGTTGTCATTTTATATTCAATACAGATTCCAATACCACCATGATAATAAAATTTGCCCTTTTATTTATATATAAAATAGTCGTACTTTCTTTTATATTCCCATGTGGCCTTATATATGTGTAATCCCTCAGTGGTCCAGGTAGGTACCATAGTGGTCCACGGTCGTAAACTAGTCTTTGTGCTCTTAAACTTGTTCTGATACAGCTCAAGATCATTCTAAAACCATTCAGGAAAGGCTCATTTCTGTCCTGTGAATCTGATTTTTTTTAGAATTAATAACTTTTAGTAACACTTTGACAGTTTTGAAAACTCTAGTCTTTAACTTTTTCCTGTAGAATCAATAAAGATTCAGCCACTCCAATTAGGTTCAATAGATACAAGAGATAGATACCTATAAAACTTTAATTTAAGGTGTTTATAATTTCTTAAATAATGGCATATGAAAACATAAAGGAGTCTCTAATCATCCAGTGTGTGTAAAACAAAATCGAGATTTTATTTTTTGGCCATATCGCTGAGCCTTAATATAGATGTAATCAAAATCCAAATGTCATGGAAAGTCAAAATAAGGTTTGGTTTGTCCCAGAGACGACCAGCAGGGGGAGATGCAGGATCCCACAGCAATTTGTTGATTACTAGTATTTTAGAGCTGGATGATATGGCCGAAAAATTCATAATAATCCTCAATTTCACAATTTTGATTATTGAAAAATACAAATTAATAAAATTAATCTGATTAATTGGCCAGCCTTAATTGAATCACCTTTAAAAAGTTCATTCTGAGGTGAAAGTGCCTCTTCTGCTTTGCTTTGACAGTTGTTTGTGTCTGTGCCTCTGGCCTGTTGTAAATGTCGCTGTGTTGTGTGTTCCAGCGTGCGCCGCGGGTACCAGGTGTACAAACAGGTGTGCTCGGCCTGCCACAGTATGGAGTATCTGGCCTTTAGAAACCTGGTGGGAGTGTCGCACACGGAGGCCGAGGTCAAGGCCATCGCTGAAGAGGTTTGTTCAAGCTTGGGGGATGCCATTTTAGGGGGGAAAGATTACGTAGTAGGTCATGCATTTCAGAACATATTAGTGGATGCCCAAATTACAGGGTGAACAAGTTTATTTGATTCATTTAGACAGGCAAGTTTGTTTGCAAACATTGTTTAACTTGAATCATTGCATTTTTGATAATTCTGACAAGTCATATTTCAATTACTGTATTTTTCGGACTGTAAGTCGCTCCGGAGTATAAGTCGCACCAGCCAAAAAATGCATAATGAAGAAGGAAAAAAAAACAAGTGCACCCTCCCAGTTGCCGTGAAACTGTTCTCCATCCTCGCTTTCCGCCAGTCCCTCACAAGTTTCTCACTCACTCCAAACTTTCTTTCTGTTGCTCGATTACTGTTTTCGGCTGCATATTTCACTACTTGCAGCAGGACAGCAGCTCTTTCTGCAGGAGACACGTGCAGAAAACTGATACACAAGCCTAGAGTGCCCTCTTGCGGCTGTCAGTCTGAAAATTTTAACACATAAGTTGTACCAGAGTATAAGTCGCAGGACCACCCAAACCATGAAAAAAAAAGTGACTTATAGTCCTAAAAATACGGTATTTGTGCAGCCCTACATGAAACATACTCGGTGTATGTTAAAAAATGAAACTTTATTTGGCATCGTAACTTTGGTATCAGGAATGAACACTTGGAAAATAAACAGAATTGTTTTAGTTATGCAAATTTATCTAAATGTCCAAGAAACGTACTCAGATAATTTACATAGTACACAGAGCATTTGACCAACAGTTAAAATTATTTGCATACTTGTTAACTAAAATGTTTTTGTGTTGTATACTGAGGGACTACTAGGTACTGTGGTCCAAGGCAAGAAAGAAATGATCTGATGAAGGCTCTTTGCTGAAACGTTAAAAAATTGTCCAATGAGGTTCATTTGGTCTTCTGTCCTTTTTTCAGACCAAGAGTTTCGACAGTTTCGCCTGCTCCCTGGGGTCTTCCTCAGAATGGTCACATGATTTTGATGTGATGTGTCCAGTCAGCTGATTTATACATAACAGGTTTTGGCGCTGAATTCCTACTGGAGGAATAAATCAGCTGACCACTCGTGACACATGAGCGGTCGAAACAAACTCTTGGTCTGAAAAAAATGTAATAACTTTAAAAAATAATAATTTACAAAAAAAAAAGCTTTTGGACATCAACCAGTTGAGTGTGCTATGCATTTTTTTCACTTTTAAATTGCTGTTCTTTGCATTTGCACCTCTACCAGAACTTTGGTGTGTGTTTTCTGTTTCCTTTGATAGTATTCTGAGTATTCAGTGTGTACAAACTGCCTGGAGTTAAAAGTACTGTGTCTGTGTGTTTCAGGCCGAGGTGGTGGATGGACCTGATGAGAACGGCGAGATGTTCACTCGTCCTGGAAAACTGTCGGATTATTTCCCCAAACCGTATCCAAACGCTGAAGCCGCACGAGTGGCCAACAACGGAGCGCTGCCCCCGGACCTCAGCTACATCGTCAACGCCAGGTACAGAACTGAACCAGGTCTAGGTCTAAACTAAGTCTAAACCTCGTCTGGATCTAGACACTTTCAGATGGAGCGAAGCAACATTTGACCCAAATTCAGTTATAACAAGTTCACGAACCCACAAACCCACATCAGTCTGACACCAAATGAAATTAATATGCATATACTTGGGCGTCAGTTGGTTGAGTGTTTGAATCCCGCCCTTAACATAAACATCATTGGTATAGTGATCAGATCCACACATTTCTGGTGTGTAAACTAGCTGGAGTTTAGTTCTTGTTTTGGTCTTTTACTGTAGCACATTTGAAAACTTAATTCCAATGTAAGAATACGAACTGTATTGTCATTGGGTCAACATTGCCATCTAGTGAGTCTTGATAAGACTACCCACACAGCTGCTTTTATCAGCAACTTCTGTTGTAATTAATGTCAGATAGTGCAGTTGCGTTTGGCTCTTTTGGAATTTAAATGCTTTGGGAAGTCTATGAAGAGATCTGTTTTTTTCATAGTTATTTAATTTGGTTTATTTGGATACAATATGATAGATAATATTCTACTTGTGGTTAGGGCTGGGTATCATTCAGAAGTTGTCGATACGATACATAACTCGATACAATGAGCTAGAGCTGCTCGATTATGGAAAAATCATTATCACGATTATTTTGGTCAATACTGAAAATCACGATTCAAACTATTTTTTTGTGACACGATGCATTTATTCAGCATTCCTCTTTCTCTCAAAAAAACCAAAACACTTTATTATTGATCATTTACGCAAAACTTCCAAATTGAAAATAAATATAGGCTACAAATATGAACCTTAGAGCAGTTTTGCGATGTATAAAACATAAAATGAATAAAATAAACTTGAAATAAGACATAGAAAAACATAAATGTATCCAAAGTAACCTATATATCCAGCTGTTCTACAATTTCTATATAAAAAAATTAAATAAAATGTACTTATTTATATAAAAAAAAAATCCCAAAATAAGCTTTGTTAAGCTTTAATTGTTTCAGCTCGATTATGAGTTTGAAGATCGTTTGACACACAAATCGAAATTGCGATTAAAATTCAATTAATTGTACAGCCTTACAGTGAGCTTACAGTTCGATACAATTCAATACAATATATTTCAAATTGATTCAATACTTTTCAATAAAAAGTAAAGGCTAAATTATGGCTGTGATACTAAAAGTCTTTGTTAAAACACTTGTGTAAAGTTCATATGAAAAAAACACATTTTAATCCTCAAAACAGTGAAAATGTCAAATGTGTTGCATAAACAAGTTTCATTTCACTGAACAAGCAACAAAACTGTAGCACTGTATCAAAATTATTTTGTAAAATATACCAAAAAATATTCTTGGTGATATATAAATACAGCAGCCTCCGATATCGATACTGTATCATCACATTAAAACGATGTGATATATTTATTAAAATACATTTGCACACCCCTAAAGTTTTGGAGATGTTCAAAACTGGACTATAATGTATTTTGCCTTTTTTAATGCCTTTTATTTAAAACAAAAGATTGGGGAAACTTGTAATCTTTCAAAAAACATATGAAGTTATTTTTATGAATTTAAAAATGTTTTATCATTGTCACATTTTAGAACAGCTCCAATGGATCACCAAAATGTCTGGATATTATCTGGAATAATGCAGTAATTGTAATCTTCCGTCTTTTCTTTTTGTCATTCTCAGGCACGGAGGAGAGGATTACGTGTTTAGCCTGTTGACTGGTTACTGTGAGCCGCCAGCAGGGGTCAGTGTGAGGGAGGGACTCTATTATAACCCCTATTTCCCAGGACAGGCTATTGGCATGGCCCCGCCCATCTACAACGAGATCCTGGAGTACGATGATGGTAAGACAAAACTATTTCATATTTTTATCAATGGACAAATTTACCAGATTAAGGGCATCTACAAACTTTTAAAAATGCAAGAGGAGACATTATAAAGTGGCTTAAATATCTGTTATTGTAACTTTTTAGATGAACTAAATGTGAATGCTGCAATTTCAAAGTATGCGTGTAAAAATTATTTAAAAAAAATATATATATTGTATGTGAATTTTCGACACTAAAACTTCCAAAAGTATATGTAATTTAAGTCTGGCTACTTGACCAAAGTTACTAGAGATTCAGTTGTTTCTAATTGTCAATGATCAGCATTTATTTTTTTTTTTTAAAGAAGGGGTTTCATGCAATTTTTATTTTATTTTTTTGCTATCTACCATGTTATGTTCCTTTACCAAAAACATGCCTGAAGAGGTTTTAGATGTCACCCATGCATGTAATCAAAGTTAATATAATTAAAATAATTAAAATGCATATTGTTCTTGGGTCTAGTCAGTTATAGAAATGATCACATTCAATATTTATGCTGTGAAATATTCAAAAAGTGTAGGATAGTGGGATAGCGACTCTTGCATCCTTCCTCAGACTAAGATATCACAACATTCTACAATAAAACCATCAATTGCAATATCTACCCTATTAGAAGTATGTTTAACATTTTAATTATTGTGCACTAATTGTGTTCCTTGTTGTTTGCCGTAGGAACTCCGGCCACCATGAGTCAGGTGGCTAAAGATGTGTGCACGTTCCTGAGGTGGGCCGCTGAGCCAGAGCACGACCAGCGCAAACGCATGGGACTCAAGGTACACACATACAGACACATACAGACACATACAGACACATACAGACACATACAGACACATACAGACACATACAGACACATACAGACACATACAGACACACACAGACGGACAAAAAAACACACAAAAAAAAGAAGGGTTTTCAACAACAAAGAATGAAAAATAAATCAAAAAGTAAAAATACACTGGTAAAGTTATGCCAGTGAAAAAAGGCATTTTGAATGGAAGTCAATGGCACAACAATGTACCTAAGGACCACAGGAGTATTTTGATTATAGACTATTCTATTAATGTGAAAATTAGATTACAAATACGTCACAACATACACAAACTGGCCAATTTTGGTGCAATAATGCCAAAGTTGTGCTATAAAAAGAAAAGTTGCGATGTAGAAAAATGTACCGTATTTTCCGGGATATTAGACGCGCTCTTAAGCCTCCAACCCCATCAAAAAACGACTGCGTGCCCCACAGTCCAGAGCGTCTTATACACGAATCCACTCGGGTGTCCCAGCACGACTTCAGTAAACTACAAAGCCGCAGACAGTGACCGCAAAGCGAAAAACACCCACAGCCACACTCATCACGAGGAAGAAACGGAGGAACGAACCGAAAAAGCGAGTGCAATGTGCCACTTTTAGCCACAACTGAACAACTGAGTCACTGCGAACACGCCGACAATCCAGCGGTCCCAGAGCACCCTCCCTACACGCCACAACTGAACAAAGCCCAGAGTCACCGTGAACGCGCCAAACAAAGTCCCACTGACCCATTCAACAGTTGTGTTTCGTTTAAAGTCCGGTGCGGTTTATTTGTGAAAAAGTTCGAAAATAGACCATTCAATGACAGTGCGCCTTATAGTGTGGAAAATACGGTACCTAAGAGTGTAGGAGGGTTAAGAACATGCACATCTGGATCTGACTGACATTTTGGTCTGATGGTATTTCCTTCTTGTTTCCCTGGAGGTTACATAGTGCACCTTTTAAAAATGCAATGAAAAAACATTTTAAAAAGCAAAACCAACAATAATTTAATCATATTTTCTTTCTTTTCAGCTTCTCATGGGCGCAGCTATCCTCACTCCTCTCCTTTACTACATGAAGAGGCACAGGTGGTCCGTACTCAAGAGCAGGAAGATCGCCTACAGACCTCCAAAATAAAACCACTCAACTCCCAGACCTTCAAAATAAGTCGTCACAACACAACTACCAAAAAAAAACTACGAACAACTTAAACCTGTAAACCACAATGTGACCAAACACCCCACAACATCACAACACTGACACGAATCTCCCTTTTAGTATTTTCAAAACGTGTTATAAATATTTCATCTTCCTTTATATGCCTTTATTTTGATGTTGTGGGGTTTTTGTGTGCATTGTCTTAAAAGTGCTGGTTTTCCACAGTGGACTAGAATTATATTAAATCTATTTACAACTACGGTTTTGCGTTTTAAGTCGACCTTTATCAGGACCCAAGAATATTTTTAGTGTAAGAATGAGAAAATTGTAAAGAGCAGAGTGGTCATCGTTTGAGCAAATGTACGAGAGCTTCTATTTGATTCTGCTAAATGTGTTTCAGTCCTCCCACCTACGCTGTGTCATGTAAATATTTAATAAAGATAAAAAATAAAACACAAGATTTAGTGGAGTTTTGAATGTGAAACTGCTATTGTATTTTAAGAATTTAATATGGAAAGTCTATGGAGATATTTTTGTTTAGGAACATTCTAGATGTTCCACAGTAGATCATTAAACATATTTATAGTTTTTTTTTGTTTTGTTTTTTCATTACAACTTATTTTTATTGCACAAAAATACCTTCTGACTGTATAGATGGTGAGATGCAAGCCTCAATCCCTAAAGAGAGAAGTCAAAATAAAGGCCACCACAGCCTATGGGATTTCTTGGTCTTGAATGATTTTTAAATGTGCGACAAAAAGTGCACACCAGACACGAAGAGAATCTTATGAGACTTAAAATCTTCAGTTGCAAAGACTGCAGCAGGATCTGTCTGCGGACCACGGGATGTAAAGCTGTGAGCACAATCGTGTCAGCTGTTTCCTGTTTACAGTAAAATGACTCGCTTTGAGACTCTTAAGTGTTCAGAAGATCAGGGCTCTGCGTTTCTAGTTTAGATACAAGTCAAAACTGTTATTATTTGTGAAATTCTGTGTGAGTGCAGTGGTGGGCCTTCTCTCCTGGCCTAAAATAATATCTGAATCACAGACTGATGTTAATTATATTTTTATTAAATAATTCCAAATGGTCTGTCCGCTTCCTTTCAGAGCTTTTCCTATGGTTGTGCTGCTTCCAGACATGTGTTTTCATATTAAAGCATTTGACCAATCACATTTCAGCTGTCACTTGTTGCCAGGCAGAGTCAAAGTCAAAGACGTCTGCCTGAGGCCTTCCTGAGGACTTGTATTACTATTAGTAATTACCAGTGGTGCAGTGGGGATTTTTTTTAAGTGAGGGTCATTCCTGACTGAACCAGGACTAAACCAGGAAAATGTCCCAGTTTTCTTCATCTACATGTTTGTTTCTGTTATGTTTGGCTAATCAACAATTACAACTAAACTTCAGTTTTCATCATTTCCACATTGACGCACAACGCCGAGTGCACTGGGTACATGCGATTAGAAGAGAAGATGATTCCAAACAGCACATACGTCTACAGTCTTCATTTTACCGCTGATCACATTTACTTCAGTGGGTTTGATCACAGTCGGTCGGCAAGTCCAGTGTTGGGAACTACACCACAAGTTGTCATTACGAGTTTCCAAACATTTTCCTGGTTTGTGACGTAAGCTTATGAAATGTCTATTGTGACAAGCAGGTGGCGTCACCAGGATAAGTTACAGGCCACATATTTGGAGAGTTAATCCATGTAACAAAGTAAAGGGAAAGTAGGAACTCAAGCATTAAAAGGCCTGGAGTAACTTTGCCTGTAACATTTAACCACGACTCCATTCATTCCAGTGAGGCCACAGGCACCAGATGCACTCTTGGAGATGAGAGTTTGGGTATAACATGGAAGATGTGTGGACTGTATCTTTTTTTTTTTTTCATACAGGGCGCACCCATTTTTAATTCGGTCAAGCATTTTTTAAACATTGTTCACTTACAAACCTTAAATAATCAACTTTTTCTCCAGATCTGAACATTGTCAAAATAATATTTCATTGATGTTCAGGGGTCAAATTTGAAAAGAATCCAGTAAAAAATTATTTAAAAATACAAAAATTGATTTTCCACCCATTTTCTTTCTTAAACCTAAAACCTAGAACGATGAGACACAAAGGAGCTCTGTACATTTTTTTCACAAGTCTAGAGAACCATTTTAAGCAGTGTCTTGATTTGCAGATCATTACATTCAGTTCTGCACACACGCTCTGTCATTTTTTAAAATAGATTGAAGTAGCTCAAGAATAATGACATGAGCCTGGAGTTCGAATGCAGGAAAAGTTTATTTACATCAGTACAAGACCCAAGTCATGGAGACACAGTGAGAATGAGATGAATATGTGTCTTTATTTAAACAGATACAATTTTTGAGAATCAATTATCATTTTCAAACATGATCTGGACAAGAGACCCTGTCAGGAGCCACATGAAGTCAAAACTACAAAGATAAACACACATTAACACAAAAAGACAAGTGCTGGTCATGATGTAGCAGAACAAAGAGGAAAGAAGGTGTTCTGTGCAGCGTCTTTTTGACTTGAAAGACCAAAAACACAAGCCATTTCTTAATGAATACACAGCGCAAATGCAACACGTCATGGTCACTACCTTACACAACATGGTGATTATGGATAAAACAAGAGAAAGAAACCAATATAGTATGACATACTCTCAGGCTGAATGTTTACAGCGTAATCCTGTCCTGTTACTCTGCTTAATACAGCTCTGGAAAAAAATAAGATACCACTGCAAAATGATCAGTTTCTCTAATTTTACTACTTATAGGTATGTGTTTGAGTAAAATGAACATTTTTGTTTCATTCTATATACAACATTTCTGTCAAATTCCAAATAAAAATATTGTCATTTAGAGCATTTATTTGCAGAAAATGACAAATGGTCAAAATAACAAAAAAGATGCAATGTTTTCAGACCTTAAATAATGCAAAGAAAAGATCATATTTATTTTTAAACAATACAATACTAATGTTTTAACTTAGGAAGTGTTCAGAAATCAATATTTGGTGTAATAACCCTCATGACCATCCATTTTCCTCTTGATCACGTTTTAGAGGTTTTCAGTGAGGATCATGTCTGGAGGTTGGGCTGGTCATGAGAGGGTCTTGATCTGGTTGTCTTTCATCCAAACCTTGATTGACATAGTTTTGCGGCGTTGAGCATTTTGTCCTGCTGGGAAAAAAAACAGTCCTCAGAGTTGGGGAACATTGTCAGAGCAGAAGGAAGCAAGGTCTCTTATTTTTTCCAGAGCTGTATCATATCTTCTGAGGCAGGATGGATATTTTGCCTATAAAGATTGGAAAAAGTTTGTCCTGGTTAATTTTGGAGAAAGAGTAGATAAGAGTGTTGGTGTCAGCGTCATAAAAAGTCAATTTACGCTTGTTACATTCTAGGTGAACCATAATTCTCTGAGGACTTGACTTTGATTTTACAACAATTTCCTTTTTTTTCTGTAGGCTGAAAAGTTCATATTGACCATTTTTAAAGTAAATTGCGTAAACTCCAACAACAGCAGGGTCTGTAATTTGGAGCTGAAAAGATGATTCTGTCATCAAGCCAAGTGACCAGTTATCACCGTGAACTGCAACTTCCCATCTGTGGGAGCCGTAGTTGAACCCCTCTGAACCACAAACTAATGGCAGTTTATCCTTAGCTCTTTCAGGGTTTTTAGGAAGCACATGTTCTGCTCCAGCTTGTACACTGCTCAGATCATCAGACACGACCAGTTGTGGGTGAGCCGTGTTAGGATCCAGAACAAAGGGTCTGTACTCCACCAGTCTCTTCATGTTGGTCCAGATGTTGAAGACCAGGTTGCCCAGATGTTTGGCCTGGTCTATCAAAGCTCCTGGGCCCAGTTGTGGTTCCTCCAGCAGAGGGCAGCACTGCACCCTCTCCACTGCAGCCTTGTATTTGAGCAGGAAGGAGAGGTCTGTGGCTCTGAGCTTCTCTTCTGTGGCTCTGATAGTTTCTGACAGAGTTTCTATCTCTGTACTCACAGCTGCTATCTTGTCCTTCATCCTCTGAGTCTTTTGCTCCTCGTCCTCCTTCAGGATCTTCATCCTTGACTCCTGTTGTTCTGAAAGGAAGTCATGCAGCTTTAAAAACTCTTTTTCGATAATTCTGGCTGTGTGGTTTGTCTGGGTTTTGATGTGAGCCAAAGATATTTCACAGTTTTCTTTTAATTCTTCCATAAGTTCCAGTCGGTCTTTCAAAGGGTTCAGAGCCTTCTGCAGATCCTCTTTTGCATTGTTTTGTGACTTCATCGATGGGTCTGATCTGGTGGAACCTGTGAGTTTCAGAGTCTCTACACACCACACAGACAGGCTGCTGGTCAGACACACAGAACAGTTTGAATGTCTCTGAGTGCCGTGGGCACATATGCTCCTTCTTCTGCTCCTGCTGTAGATAGGCCTCACACAGGTTCCTCAGAGCCAGGTTCAGTGGAGGGTCTCTCCTGGAAGCTCTTGTCTTACAAACTGGACACTCCTGTGAGGGCTTCTCTGTCCACCATCTCCTCAGACACTCTTTACAAAGGCTGTGGCTGCAGGTCAGCACGACCGGATCATTGAAGATGTCATGACAAACTGGACACGTCAAGTCTTTCTCAGGTTGAAACGCCATGATGAGTCCTCACAACCTTTTATCTACTGCTCTGCAGCTCTTCTCTCTGTTTTATATCTTGAGGTGTGGCACTGGTAGGGAATTTCACACATTTTTATCATGGTCATAGTCACATTTTTATAGTGCCTTTCTGCCTTCAAGGCACTCAGCAAGTTGTATCATGTTATATTCATGTTTGTAAAACTTGTCTACCAACTTTATAATGCTAAATTAATCTTTTAGTTAACTCTGAGGATGGTCAAAGCCAGTGTCTTGACTGCTCTGCTGAACTTGGTTGTAACATGTTGGTAAAGTTTGGTTAGTCTCAATGGTGGAGAGTGTTTCCAAAGATCCAGGAGACCAGGGTCGACTCAAAGTCCACCCAATAAAAACTAAATTTATGATTGTGATTGTGATTGTATAAATCCTAGTTTGTGGCACTTGTCGGGAAGGAAGCAACAATATGTAAGCAAGAGATAAACGGTTATGACTAGTGATACCTTCTAAACTACAAATGCAGTGTTTCTCAAATCTCAAATTCAGAGACACATTTCCAAAAAAGACATAACTGCAAAGGAAAGTTGAAAACACTGAGGCACTCAAAAGAAGAAAATAATGAAGGATTATGGATAATGTGGATGAGATGCTGCACTTTAAATGTACCACTTTTCAAGATGTGAGTACTAAAGTCACTTCATTATTTTCGCTGTTTCGTGAGTTCGATGCTCTATTTTATTGTCTGTTCTGGTAGCATTGCTGATGTTTGGTGGTTATGACTGAACAGAGTAGTTCAAAGTCACACTGACACATGAGGAGCTTCAAAATCAAACACAAA